AACTAAACAAATTCTAATTTTTTAGATTGGATTAAGTATGGAAAAGCCCACCTTGGCTGCCTAGCTTACTTTTGGCCGGATTCACTTGTGAACCTTGGCAACTTGGGAAGCTTGTGCTACAAGCTTCTAACTTAGCATGCTTCCTAATCTACTAAGTTAGAAGATTTCTCCACAAGCCTCCCAAACCATGGTGGACGGTCAAGCTAAGCCAACCATGGTTCCCTTGAACCATGGTTAGCGTAGCTTGCTCCATAAGTTTCCCTACTCTATATAAACTCTCCTCCTACCTATGTACTCACTTTTGAAGAATTTATGAGACTAGAATTCAAAAAATTTTCTCTCTTTCAAGAGTCCAATTCCTTGGAGAAAACCTTTCTCCTTAAGAACCTTCACAAAGAATTTCCTCCGTTGTGCCTTGGTTCATTATTCTTCTTCTTCCTCAAGAAGAAACCGAGACACCTTGAGTTTCTTCCATCAAGCTTTGGAGCTTGAGATAGCTTTCGTGAAATGCCATTAAGAGCCTCAAGAGAAGGATTGGTCGTGAAGATGGAGTTTGGAGAGGAACATCAATCACTTCTCCAAAGGATTTCCATCAACTAGACTACTCCAGGTATGTTGCTTTGGTAGCATACCACGTGATATGTGATTATGAGACACATGACTGGCGCCACATGTATGGATTTATGAGTCGAGTTCATGACATCATTACATGATAAATAAATATACATATGATACTGATTGTGTATGTGTATTGTTTATATGTGATTTGTGCTTGTGACTTGTATTAAGTTTTTTTTGTGTGTTGTCTAACATTTATTTTTACACCTTAACCTGAGTGAGATGTTTCTCACACTCATGTTTGCTCTATGTATGTCTTTCATTATGTTGCAGGTGACCATCAGCACGAGGATGTTGGTGACAAATTTTAGGCTTCAGTTGGATGTTCTCTGATACATGTGACATTGGGGTGTAATTAGGAGTCTTCTTCCTCAAGAAGAAACCGAGACACCTTGAGTTTCTTCCATCAAGCTTTGGAGCTTGAGATAGCTTTCGTGAAATGCCATTAAGAGCCTCAAGAGAAGGATTGGTCGTGAAGATGGAGTTTGGAGAGGAACATCAATCACTTCTCCAAAGGATTTCCATCAACTAGACTACTCCAGGTATGTTGCTTTGGTAGCATACCACGTGATATGTGATTATGAGACACATGACTGGCGCCACATGTATGGATTTATGAGTCGAGTTCATGACATCATTACATGATAAATAAATATACATATGATACTGATTGTGTATGTGTATTGTTTATATGTGATTTGTGCTTGTGACTTGTATTAAGTTTTTTTTGTGTGTTGTCTAACATTTATTTTTACACCTTAACCTGAGTGAGATGTTTCTCACACTCATGTTTGCTCTATGTATGTCTTTCATTATGTTGCAGGTGACCATCAGCACGAGGATGTTGGTGACAAATTTTAGGCTTCAGTTGGATGTTCTCTGATACATGTGACATTGGGGTGTAATTAGGAGTAGCCTAGGATGTTGTTTCCATTAAACTATTTTGAAAACCTTTGTTTCTTTTCTTTTGTAATTTCTAAATTAGAGTTATGGTTTATGAGTTATGAATGTGGATCTTCTACCTTATGATATTTGAGACACTCGTTTTATCCATGAAAGATGTTATCAACTATGAAAGATTTTATTTACTCAAAAAATTATAGTTTACATTTATTGTGTATTAATGTTGGGGTAGAGGGTATCACAGCGCTCATGTGTGTAACATCCAATTCTTCTTCTTGGATGGGGTTTAATTGATTAGAAACTTTTTGAACTCGTTTTGATTTAGAAAACTTGACTTTCATGAGTACTCTAAGGGCGGGGATTTCTATTTTGATTAGGGACATTGTCTTATCCCATATACCAAGGAGAAAGGTGATGCCCCCAGTTACTGCATAAATAGCAACCTATTACCATGTAAAGCATCTCTTGTGACAATCATTTTCCTAGATGATCTCTTTGATTTTCTCAGTTTCCTCATTTATTTTGGATCTAGACGGAGAGGAGTTATTATCCTTTTTTTTATTTTTTATAATGAGGCTAGATCATTCAGACTTCTTCCCCAAGCAATTTTTGCATGTCTAGAAATTTCTCTTTATTCAAACTCAATTACCGCATCCTGGATGTTTAGAATTTGATTAATTTTGTTATCCTCGGTCATGTTTGTTTTCTTGGTTTTTTATGTTGTACTTAGAATTAGAATTGAATGCATGGGAAAGATAAAAGAACAAATAGGGAGTTAAAGAAATGACATGTGTTATTGGCTAATGTAAAACTTATACAAACCCTTATTTTGCATGAATAATGTTAGTCTAAATTAATTCTTCTTTAGATTTTGTTTTTCAAAGCATCAAGTGTGATATGTGGATTAACTAGAAAAAAACATTGGGTCAAAGGATACAAATGTGTCCCCTTCACTTGTTTTGGTGATCTCACCATCGTAGAAGACTAAGACATGGAAAGATGAGGAAGATATTTTATGTAATGAAAAATAGAAGGTATTTAGTAAGCAAAGGTTTGTATATGTGGTATTGTAAAGAAGAATACCCTCATTTAAATAGAAGAATCACTAAACCGCATGTTAAATATGGTTTGTTAATTTTGAAGAATAAATATGAACCATTCCTTTTGAAAGACACATTGATGTTCTTATGTAAAGCATTTGATTCTTGATGCACTTATGTAAAGTCAATGACACATAAATGTAAAGCAATTGACTCTTAATGTACTAACGTAAAGCAATGACACATCCTAATGCCTTAAGGTAAAGTCAATGACACTATGACATAAAACATTTCATTCCTAATGCCCTAAGGTAAAGTTAATCACACCTTGATGTAAAATAATTGATTCCTAACACCTTAAGGTAAAGTTAATGACACCCTGACGACAATTGATTCCTGACGCCTTAAGGTAAAATTAGTGACGCACTGACATAAAGTAATTGATTCCTAACACATTGACTTAAAGCAATTGATTCATGATACACTAACATAAAGTCAATGACACCCTAATGTAAAACAACTGATTCCTAACACCCTAAGATAAAGTTAATGACACCTTAACTTAAAGCAATTGATTCTTGATGTTCTGAGGTAAATTTAATGACACCTTGACGTAAAGAAATTGATTCTTGACTCCCTGAGGTAAATTTAATGATACCATTACATAAAGTAATTGATTCCTAATGCATCAACATAAAGTAATTTATTCCTAACACACTATCGTAAATTCAATGACAACCTGCTTGAATGCGAACACAACCCACTATGAAACTTCGAGCATACTTCGTTGTCCACTTTTTTCAAGTTGTAATCCTTTCTGCAAAAACTATACCATGAACCATAACTAATTATTACTCACCACTGTTGTATGACTACCTAATTTTCTATGGACTTGTTTGCTTTTCTTTAGTTTATAGTATCTTGTCCAATCTTTCTAAAACAATCAAGTCCAACGTCTATTTCTAGCTGACTTGGAGTGGACTTTGAAACTTGATAGCAGTGGCAGGCCTTAAAATGTTATATATAAGCCATTATTATTTTTCAATTATTCAACCATTCACATATATATTTAATCATGTAGTGAAATGTAATATATTTAATCACATAATTTGTATTTTTCTTTTTTTGGGTTAACTGTGTCTGAACTCTTCAATATTATGGATTTAATCACTTTTGTGAGAATCTCCATTCATCCGTATTGAAGTGTTTGGAGGAACTCCCGGAATCACTGGTGATTGTTGAAAAAACTAATAAGGTTATATTTTCATTCATCCCATGTTAATTAATAGCTAATTAAGATAATTTTTCATCAACTCTTTTTATTCTTCCGATTATGTTGTGAAGTTCATATTAATTAATGTTAGTCGCAGATGGATTACTTCTTTTGCTTTAATATGGTTTTGGAAAATCAAGTCATGACTTATTTTTTTTCCTCTTATCATACGGGTTTTAATTTGATCAAGAACTCTAGAGATGAAAAAATGAGTTTAGCATAGGTTCTGCATTCAAGTGTTTAAAATACCTGTTTTGTTTGCCTTGTCTTTGATTTCCTAAATGGTTTGATTTCTTTTTGATAAAGATGGAATGAATTTTGAGATGGTAGAAGAAAATATAGACTTCAATTTCCTGTAAGGCTTTAACCATTTTCACTACGATATTGTGAGAAGGATAACTGTGAAATTTTCTCTATCTTTGGAAATCTAACTAGGCTGCAATGAATTTATAAAGTATTAAATCTGACATGAAGCATTTGCCATCATGAATTCAAAATTCAGATTGATAATGAATGTAAATAATTTCCAAAAGCTTGATTAGTGTTGATATGAACTTAAATTAATTCATTATTTCTTTAATATCACTTTAGTTTTGTTTTAATAAATTGAATCTTAATGTTTGGTTACAATTTCACAGGTGCATGATCTGTTTCTGTGACTATTCCTTACTACACAAAGTTAAAGTCGTTGAAAAGTTTGGGCAAAACAGAAGCCACAATTGCCGCTTTTTATTTGATATAGCCTTCTGAAATCCCTTTTTATCCATAAAATAACATTCTGAAATTCCTTTTTATCCATAAAATAACATTCTGAAATCCCTTTTTATCCATAAACCACATGCCCACATTACTAAGATGAGTTGGATTTTTTGGTAAAATAGTTGTTATTTATTTAGTGAATTTGAAGAGCACTCAAGAACTCAACTGAAGTGAACTGAAGTATCTAAATTTTTAAAAAAATTTCAATTAACATAACATGAAACATTTGCGTGTAATTTTCAACATTCACTGTTTGTTATTTTAGTTCTATATACCAAGGGTGAAATCTTAGTGTTGGAGTAGAAAAGATCAGCACCTTTGGGTGTTGATACATTTTGTTGACATGAAAGTTTGCAAATTTATTGTTTTCTTATATAATATATCCTAAGGTTCTATAATTATTATAGGCTACACTACCTAGATTTTCATCCAAGGGGCTATCCATTGAAGAAGGGGAATCACTACTAGAAAGGAGTGACAAATTGGCAGTTGAAGCCCGTGATAGTTTCTGGAATTCAGTCAAAAGAAATCTTGGGAATAGAAATAGAAGAGCTTTGGTTGTAGCCTCCATTGGAAGCTATGGAGCTTACCTTGTTGATGGCTCAAAATACAGGTGCTTCAACACTCTTTAAAATTTAATAGTTTGGTTCTTATCTGTCCTTTAGAGAAACTACTGTATGTTTTTGGTATGTTTGCGAAATTAATTCATATTGATTTCTTCTTGTAGTGGTTGCTATGGACCAGATGTTAATTTAAAGAAGTTGAAGGATTTTCATCACCGTAGATTGCAAGTTCTCGTTGAAGCTGGTCCAAATTTGCTTGCTTTTGAGACCATTCCAAACAAAGTTGAAGCTTAGGTCTTTTTATTTTTTTGTTTGCTTTTTTCTTTTTCTAATAAGCATGTTTCATAAAAGTATACCTTGATGTAATTTCTTAAATTAAAGTTATTGCAATATATTTACTGCACAAAATTATAATTCTTCTACTCTGTTGTTCATCCACTTCTCTCACGTTTCTATAATTAAATTTTGCATTTTAAAATCAATATGTTCATCTCATTTTCACATAGTGTAGTCTCTTTCATTTGTCATTTTTGTAATGGTAGTTCTCTGTGCTGCATCATGATCAATTAATCAAAAATCTAAATTAAGAATACATTTCCTGCTTTTTAATTTTTAAACATTACTAAAAAAATTATAAATCATTTTTTTATTGTCGAGAAATAGGAATAGTATCAATTTCATCCCCTCCTTGACCATCATCTGTAAATAAGACAGCTTCCATTTCTGGTTCATCAAGAGATAATGACGCCACTTCAAGATTTTCAACACCATCAAAGCTACCCCATGCATCTCCACCAATGTCCCACATTCTAGTACTCCCTTGCATATATTCTTCACTTTTCCTAGATAAGAGTCGCAAATTAGTATGTACATAAACCAAGTCTTCTGCTCTTTTAGGATTCAACTTATTTCTTTTCAAGGAGTGAATGAAGGAATAAGTACTCCAATTCCTTTCGCAACAAGATGAAGAACTAGGTTGTACAAGAAGCTTTAAAGAAAGCTTTTGAAGGAGAGGGGCAGAAGAACCATGCATTACCCACCAGGATTTAGCATCTAATGTCCATCTATCTTCAATTGAGTCAAAAGAAGCAAAATTATGAGCTTTTGATGAAAAATCAGCATATTCAAGAGAAACCTTTCTTCTTTCTTCAGCTGTTGTGAAAAGCTTTTTTAAACATTTATTTCTTTCCATAGAAATTTCTTCATCCTCATGTGGGGAAATTCTATTTGGAGCCTCTTGAAGCCATTCATCACTGTAGTACCTGTGAATAAATAAAAAAATTAATAAATAAAAAAAAATTAGTAACTATCAAATTATTTATAAATAAATACTAAAAACAAATAAATATTTAATAGGCTAATTTTACCTAGGATTCAAAGAGTGAGCCATGCAGTGGAGAGGGGTGCAACTCTTAGTCCACCTATCAATTAGTATAGAATAAACAACTTCATAAAATGTTGATGTATCATTTAACTCTTTTCCTTCATATCTATATATAGACGTCTTTACTTTTTCTATCATACTATCCCACATCTCATAGACCAAATGAAGCGTGGGACTATCTGTGTCACAAGCTCTAAGCATACTATAAATAGGCTCGGTGAAATTAAGAATATATGTAATTTTGTCCCACCACACATCATTCAAAATAAATTCTTTTGCAGCTTGGGCCTTACCCACATCATCTTCTCTATAAGAGTTCCATTCTTCACTAATAACCATCGATTGCAAAGCACCTTTCAAAAGTTTAAATCTCTTTAACATCACTAGAATAGATGCAAAGCGTGTTTCAGCTATAGCAAGCAATTTTAGAGGTGAAAAGTGATTAAAAATTGCCAATCTCATTGAGTGATTCATGATAAAGTTCCTAACAAAAGAAACATCATCAACAACTTGAGTAATCCAATTACATTCAGCATAAGCTACCTCATTCCTTTTAGTGTTTTTGGTAGCACATATATTCTTCAACGCAAGGTTCAATGTGTGAACAACACAAGGAGTTCAAAAAATTTTAGGAAAAGAAATTTCAACAATCATGCCAGCACCTTTGCATACAAGAGCATTATCTGTTATAATTTGAACAACATTTTGTTCACCTACTTATTTTATAACTTCTATCATCATATCAGCCATATAATGTTTGTTTTTAATCTCATCAGAAGCATTAATAGCTTTTAAAAATATTGGACCCCCTTCACCTGTAGCCATAAAATTAATTAAAGGTCTTCTTTGGACATTTGTCCATCCATCAGATACTATGCTAACACCTTTTGCATTCCAAGTCGATTTAATAGGTTTAAGCAACCTCTCAACATGTGCCTTCTCTTGTTGTAAGAGAGTTGTCCTCAAGGCATTGTATCCAGGAGGGAGAAAACCATTAAGCATGTGATTTGCAGCAAATGAATAAGAATTCACATAATAGGGATTTCTGGCAAGGTTGAAGGGCAATCCAAAAGAATAAAACATTCTAGCAATAAGAGCTTTGAGATTATCTCTATTTTCTAAATTAAATGCTTTCTCCAAAGGACCAACTTTTCTCTTTTCCAATAAAGAACTCTGATGCATTTTCTCTGTAGGCAATGGGACATGCTTAGGTTTCACTTTATTTTCAGCCAATTCAACAATTGATTTCAATTCAACCAAATATTGATCATTTACACTTGCACACACAGAAATTCCAGTTCCATAAATCCTCAACAAATGAGCTTTAACTCTTGAATAAGAACTTCTAAAAACCTTTTGACAAAAATTACAAGACCAACTCTTATTTCCTCCCCCTTCTGAATTTTTATCTAATATGCTAACATAACACCAAAGAGGAGCATGATCATCTTGTACAACATCATCAGAAATGAACTTACTTGGAATTTTAGAATTGATATTAGAATCAGAATCAGAAGCATTTGCTGTTGACATTATCAATAAATAATTTTTATGCTTCTGCAAAAAAAAAGTATATCTATGTTAAATTGCTAATTGTTAAATAAATTATACAACTTAAAAATTTTAATCACTTTAAATCATAAAAGTATAAACTATAAAAAAGTATATCTATGTTAAATTGCTAATTGTTACAATTTTTTTTATACATTTTACTATTTTAGAGATGCTAAAAAAGAATTAAAAAAATTATAATTATTATTAATTTATAATTTACATAAAGTTAAAAACTTTTTAAATAAATCATAAAATTAAATGAAAAAAAATAGTAATTAATTATTCTAAATGTTTAAAGTTGCAAGAATAATTATATTTTTAATAATTATAAAATCATCATAAAATTATAATTTTATATTAACCCTTTTTACAATTTAAATAAAAAGAAAATAAAAGTCTTATCATTTAAAAAAGAAAAAGTTCCCCAATGCCTGTCCTCGCAAAAGACATACACGTTGTAGAGGACTCACTCACTGCCCAGCCCCTTCTCACTCACTGCGGGGAAGAATAATGAAGAAACTCACTTCGCGAAGACGCGACTCACTGCCTAGCCCCTTCTCACTCACTGCGGGGAAAAATAATGAAGAAACTCACTTCGCGACGGGACTCACTCACTGCCCAGCCCCTTCTCACTCACTGCAGGGAAGAATAATGAAGAAATGGAGTTACTTGGATGAGTGGGTCTAGTGCTCGCTGCTTGGAAACTCTGTTGTTTGACTGGGTCTGGCGCTCGAAAACTCTGTTGTTTGGCAGCGCAACACATCAACACATCTCTGTATTTTTCGTCTCAAATTTCTTAATTTTTCTGCTTATTTATGGTTGATTTTTGATCAATGGAATCGTAGAACATTAAATCTGCAAAAATATTTTTTTTTTTTTTTTTAACAAAATAATTCTAGATACGTTTGAGATACGTATCCTAAGCGTATCCGATACGGATACGGGATAGAAATTGGTGTATCCGTGCTTCCGAGGTTCTGAGGAAACCTACCATTAAACACTTTAAATTTTAAATATGAGAAATGCCTGATTTGTTAAAACTGCAAGAGTGTCAGTGTACGTGTAGCAACCTGAAATTAGCAATGACCTAGATAAATAAAAAAATTAAGCATACAATCCCTGACCCTGCACAAGCTCTGGGTTTTACATTTGAAATAGCTCTGGCTCATTGTCTTTTCTTTCATCAATAATAATCTCTCCTTTATACTATTTTTTACTTTTAGTTGATTTTAGGGGTTTGTGATATAAAATAAACAAGCAGGATATGTATGGTACGCAGGCTAATAATGATTAATACTAAAATTCTATCTAGTAAAACATAAACCTAAAGTCAAACCATTCATAACATTTTGTTCTAATTATTTGAAGTTGTTTCCATGGTAGAATACAGAATGAAGAAGCATATTTAAGGTTTATCTTTTCATGTATGAATTATTGTGTAATTCCTATAAAATATCTTGCCTGTCTTCTCTGAATTGTTTCACTAGTTGCACCAATTCCTCAAATTTTCAACCCAAACATTCATTGACTCACAATTATTATGTATGGGTATTATATATAATGTTGAGATGAAACATGTATAGTTCTACAAAAAATACTTGTTTCATGACTTTTTGATGATTTAGCAGTCATGATGTTCATGTAGCTCTATTTCTGTAAGATATTATATGAACAAATATAGATCAACCCTTTAAAAATGGATTTCGGTGTTTCAAGAGGATATCCCAGATTCATAAAGAAAAATGTTTTCCCTCTTTTTCTAATTCAACTGGTCAATTTTAAAATGGTTTGATTGGTTGATGTTTTCCTATGATGTTCATCATGATAAGGTGATTTTGGCTTTGTATCCTGGATGACGTGATAATTTTGGAGTATAATGACTGTTTTCCATTGCTGATTTGATTCTCTAGATTAAATAAATATAGGCCCGAGTTGTAATAGTTGAATGAATGAAATTGTTGGTTTTTGTGGTTTGTTTATATATCCTGTGATGCATGATGTGCAGGGTTCTGAGAGTGAGGAGCTTGTTGCCGCATCAAGACTTGAGGATGATGTCAGTTTTTATCAAACTGTGAATCCTAATGTGGCAAAGCTTTTCCATATTGATCCAGAAGGCAAACGCCCAGCTTTAATCCTTATTTGAACTACCAAGAAAAAATCAAGTGGTGCAACCACCTTGTTTGGAAATCAGAACCAGCTTGGAACTCCTTTACAACAAATTCATTCCACTGTTGAAAAAGGTAAATTTAGAACCTTTACCTTGCAGTTTTATACTCACTTTTAACTTCACTAAAATTTATTTTTTCTGCATTCTATTTCTTGTTTCTATTATTTTCCGCATACTGCATGAAATTATTAGTTCTACATTTTGTTTATAACCTTATTAGTAAATCTTCTCCACATTTTTAAACACCAACAAAGTTTTGTATCTTAGTTTAAGGAGAAGGTCCATAAATCCTAAGTTCCTAAGCAATATACACAAGGAAAACTCCGTACCGTGTGTGGAAAAACTAGCTGTGCAGATTTGGAGATCCTCTTGTCAGCAAAGAAATAGCTCCTGCAAAGGAAAAAAAAAACAAAAACAAAAAACTGTGCAGAATGGAACAGTGTGGAAGTAACCCAAATGTTGCATCAGGCAACAAAGCAGCTAGTGGTTATGAAATTTATTTTGTTGATACAGCCCTGCTATTCAATAGAATTGGTTCATCATCACCAAGTAATCAAAATTAAAATTGTGTTGTGCTAGTGTTTTCAAAATCTATGAATGCATTTTTATGTTGTGCTTGATTTTGTATTGACGTGAAAACTGCAAAGTAACAAGTAGCCAAATTACATATCAAACAAACATCATATAACCTGATACGAATTTTCATTTGTTTGTGCGTTGTGTTCCTCAAATTAGGAGTCAAGTGCTACTATTAATTTGTTATATTTCGTGCCATTTGAATGAACAAAATTTCAATTCACAAATCTGGCTGATTCAATTTCCTTTTGACTTATAGGTTGTGTGCCTGATTCATAAATATTAAATTAGAAATCTCCATGATGGCTTATAGCTTGTGTGCAGATAACTTATAGCTAGTGTGCCTGACTCATATATATATAATTTGAAACTTGAAACTAAGTCAGTGAACATTTTGTCTAGTATGGTAAATCAAGATGGTTAGTGGTATGTTGTATTCTAGAGCATCTAAATATTAATTCAGTTAATATTTTGGTGAAAATCCTTAATGTTGGTATGTTGTAAATCAACATAGTTAGTGGTATTTTGTCTAAGTTTCTGCCATTTAGTGAAAATACTTAATGTTGGTAGAAATATGAGATGCTTAGAAAGGCTAGATTCTACTATATTTTCAAAAACTATCCTTGTTAATTACAAATACCCAAAAAATTGTCATATATTTTTATTATTAAGTTAAATAAGGTTTGAACTTCAGCTTATACTTCATTGGAGCATTTTTGTTCAACAATGGATTATCTAAACTTCATAATGAGAAGGCACGTATGTAGTCACATAAATCTTAAACTTGATTTTGATTTGGCAGGAAGTGTGCAGAGGGTGATACTTCTCTTCTTGACATCCATTAGTCAACACATCTAGTTTGTGATATCTTCTTAGTATGGTACCTTAAACTCAATTATATTTATGTTGTTTTGATGGAGGACCATCCTTGAGGACACATGTGGGCCACATCACTAGGTCCATGGCTAAGAGAGTTGAAGAGGAGGAGGGAGCTCACACACCAAGGGACACTCTCCTCATGATCATAGAGTATTAGTTCTCTCCTAAGCTTCATTAGTATGGGGTTATTTTATATACCAATTTTACCCTTGTATTTTGGGGTGTTTAGGACTTAAAATTTATTTTATTTTGTATTTCCCATTTTACCCTTGTATTATGGGGTGCTCTAGATGATTAGGATTTTAATTTTGGGCTAGGGTGTTAAATTAGGGGGTGACACAATTTTTTGGTGTTCTTGGACCTATTTTTGGTGTTAGAAAGGCTTAGGCCCAAGTGGAGGGCAAAGGTTGCATGGTCTTATCATGCACCTAGATATAGCCAATCTAAACCCAAAGATTCCATCCTTGACCACCAAGTTGCATCTAGGGTTAATTTGCATTTCATTTGGAGTGCATTTTCCTTGTGAATTTCGGCCATGCATCCTCCAAATGCAACCTTAGATGTCTCCCCTCCTATAAATACCCAATGCACCACACCTTGTAAATACTTTAGATTATATGATATTGAGTGAGCATTATTTGCCTCAACATCTCTTCCTTAGTCACTAGGTTACCTTTGGCTAACCTTCTCCTATCTCCACCATTGGAGAGTGAGAAACCTAGAGTGGCCTCCATCTACCTTTGGAGTGAGCCAACCTTTGAGCACCATACACTTTCGCCACCCCTCACCATCTCACCTCTACTTTCACGTCCAAAACAACCCCACCTTAAACACTTCCCCAATCATTTTCCCTTTGGTGAACCTAGATTATGGGCAAGGTGACTCTCTTCATCACATCACTTTCAACCATGGAAGGGAGGTCTCCATCAAGTGGTATCTAGAGCCAAGGTTCATCAAGGGTAATATCTTGTCCTCCTTGTCTTCTTGCTTATTTTTTTCTATTCGGTCATTTCTCTCCTTCTTGTCATTTCTTGTGTGGCCGAATAGTTTTGGGCTCATACTTTGTTCCTTATGAGCCTTCCTTGATTATTTTAGGTTTCCATTGCTAGGTGTTTTCCATGCTTTTTTATTTTTAGGTTGGAGTCTCATATGAACATGCTTTTTGATTTTTGAATCTTTTAAGTTTTGTCAAGTCTTGTTTCCTATATTGTCTACAAAAAAAAATTCCATGTATGTATGCCAAACACATTGCATGAATACATGAACCAAAAATACCATGTTGCATGATATAAAGTGGGCGTGACATATAGATACCATCTAGGAGTCATTCATGCATGCTATTTAGTCCTAGCATGTTCCTTGTATTTTTTTGAGTTTCCATGTGTAAAATGCTTCCTTGCACATGCATTTAAATTGCTGCCCACTTTTTCCTTGCATTTCCACTTGTTATGGTCTATATTTGATGATTGATAACCCTAAAAGAATCTAAGAGGTGTGCTGGAAATTTGGTACAAAACAACTTGTCCTAAATAGTACAAAACTCATTCCACTAAAAAGATTCCCTAAAACCCTCTAAGAACACACCACTTGTCTCCTTCTCTTTCAACTAAATTTGACCTAATTTTTCTCCACCCACAAGTGCAAAACCTAAGCAACAAATGGGCTGAACATTAAAGAAAAGAAATTGGACCCAAGGAATATAAAAAAATAGACGTGAAAAGAAAAGGAAGAAAAGAAAGAACAAAAATTTTTTTGACCAAAAAGGACTTGTTGCTAGACTTGTGGACTTGGACCTTTACCTATGCATTTGGGAGTTGGACTTAAGACCTTATTGAACCTCTTTTGAGACCTTAAGAGTGGCTGCACCGAATCATATAAAAGACTTAAGCAAGTGGACTAAACACTAATCCATTCTAGTGTCATTCTAAGAAAACTCTTTTGTGTGCTTCCTTTTTAATTGTGTCTTAATTTTAGTTTGTCTTTTCTTTGGCCTCTTTTATTTTGTCTCAATCAATTCTCTCTGAGTTTAGCCTTTCCTAATTGTGCTTTTTTATTTTTATTTCTTGGACTCTTGCTCTTCGGGTTGGTTTCATTTTGAATGTAGCTGAAGAACCTATCTAGCAAACTAGAAAACTTTTGGTGGATTTGAGTAGAGGAGTGAACCGAATCCAAACCTAGCCTTTGGAGGGATTTACACTACACAAAAGGAGTGTTAAACACTTGGAGAGGACTAACAAAGTTTGCTCATTGTGAAGGAACCCAAGTGGAGGAGTTGAAGACCTAAAAATTTTGTCTTTTCATTTTTTTTGCTTGATTTCTTTTGGGCCACTTGTATTTGGGCCTTCTTTCTTTATTTTGGTTTGTAATTGGCCATTTTTAAACCTCTTCATTTTGGTTTAGTTTCGTGTAGTTGAAGGTGATTTGAAAACCTTCACCTAGGACTTCGACTAGTATATGTTTTAAGTGCTTTCCTTTTGCATGTTTTAAAGCTTTTGGTAGTATGATTGTTTAGGGTTTTATCTTTGTCTCCAATTATGTTTAGAAGGTTTGCTTTTGCCTACTAGGGGGAACGTGCACACACACACTTTATTGTTGTGCCAAATTGTTTTGTGAGAAAAGTGGAAAAGGCTTAGTGATTATTACTTGATAAGGCTTGGTTATTAAGTGATTCTTAGTAGTCCACCTCCCTTTGATAGTTCACTTTGTACACTTAGGCCTTTTCCTACCTATCTTGCAGCTTGAAAAACCTTTTTTTTGTGAAAGCCTTTTATCACTCACTCTTTGTGAAAACCTTTTTCAAACCTTTTTGAAAACAAACTTGTGAAAACCTTTTTGGATCAAAGATGAGTGATCATTCTAGTGTCCATGGTCATAACTCATGTAGTACTAGGTCTAGTGTTAGGGATGAACTTAGGCAACTAAAGGAGTACCTAAGAAAAAAAGAAGAGGAAAATATAAAAAGAGAGGAAAAATTAAGACAAAGAGAAAAGGAATTTGAAAAAAATAATGAAGAAATAAAAAGGTTGTTTAATAGGCTAGTTGTGGGAGGAGAGGCTAGTGGTTCAAAACCAAGAGTCACTTCTCCTAAATCTTCAAGAGGTAAGGGGCATATGATACATTCAAGTGTCCATGAGGAGGAAGGGCATCATACCCAACCTCCAAGTGATATCTTCTATAGTAGTCATCACAATGATGATTACTATCAATGACTCCCAAGGCAATATAGACATAGGGAGTCTTCCAATAGGGAACCTCACATCACTCTTCCCCCATTCCATGGCAAAGACAATGTTGAAACTTATTTGGATTGGGAAATGAAAGTAGAACAATTATTTTCTTGCCATGGAGTGAGTGAAGAAAGAAAGGTTTCTTTGGCAACCCTTAGCTTCCAAGGGCATGCCATGTATTGGTGGACCTCCTTAGAAAAAGATAGAAGAATAAACCATGAGCCTCCAATTCAATATTGGAATGAGCTCCGTAGTGCCTTAAGAAGGAGGCATATTCCTCCATACTATGACCGTGAGCTTATGGACAAGCTACAAAGATTGAAACAAGGGTCATCTAGTGTGGAAGAATATAGGCAATCTATGGAGTTACTCATGATGAGGGCTGGGATAAGGGAAGAAGAGAGGACCACCATCTCAAGATTCCAAAGTGGTCTTAACCTTGAAATAAGAGACAAAGTTGAACTCTTACCATATAGAGATTTGAATGAACTTGTTCAACTTTGTTCTAGAGTGGAGCACCAACTCAAAAGGAAAACTTTTAGAAAAGACTCCACTCCATCTTACTCCATGAGTTTCAAGAAGGAGGACCCCTCTTTCGAACATTTTCCTAAAGAAAAAGAAAAACAAACCTCTCAAAGGACATCTTCCAAAGAAACTAAGACAAGTGACATCAAGTGCTTTAAGTGTCTTGGTCGAGGGCACATTGCCTCTCAATGCCCAACAAAGAAAACCATGATTTTAAAGGGCCAAGACCACTATAGTAGCCTTGATGAAGCTACTTCTTCTTCTTCAAGTGATGAAGAAGGAATCTTAGAGTCCGAGGAAGAAATCTACCCTTGTGAAGGAGACTTGTTAATGGTTAGAAGGCTTCTTGGAAACCAATCTAGTGATCTAGATCAATCCCAAAGAGAGAACTTGTTTCATACAAGGTGCAAGGTTTTAGAAAACACTTGTTCTCTCATTGTGGATAGTGGATCTAGTTGCAATTGTTGTAGTACTAGATTAGTGGATAAGCTAGCCTTAACTACTATACCTCATCCAAAACCTTACAAATTACAATGGATCAATGAGGAGGGAGGTATTGTAGTTAATCAACAAGTGAATATACCTATCTCCATTGGAAAATACCAAGATGAAGTTTTATGTGATATAGTGCCATTGGATGCTAGTCATATTCTACTTGGAAGGCCTTTGCAATTTAACAAAAAAACTATTCATGATGGCCTAACCAACAAAATAAGTTTCTATCACTTAGGCAAGAAGATTGTGTTGTTTCCTCTATCACCTTCTCAAGTGTGTGAGGACCAACTCAAAATGAAAGTCAAAAGAGAGGGAGAAGAAAAAAAAAAGTAGAAAACAAAGGAAAGAACAAAAAGACCTTCCCCTAAAGAATAAAGAAGGGGAAGAGAGCGTGCCAAGTTTAGAGGCAAGTGTCCCCTCTAAAGAAGTTGTTCACAAAAGTGATCTATCCCTTAAAAATGACATCAAAAAAACACTTTTGATTGAACAACCTTTTTACCTTCTCTATTTTAAAGAGACACTTGCTGCCACTAGTCATGAGCTTGAGTCTCTACCTCATGAGGTTCAAAAACTTTTAAAGGAGTTTGATGATCTATTTCCTCAAGAAGTTCCAAGTGGACTTCCACCTTTAAGAGGAATAGAACATCAAATAGACCTCATACCGGGTTCTAGTCTTCCTAATAGGCCCGCCTATAGGACTAACCCTCAAGAAACCAAAGAGATAGAAGCTCAAGTTGATGACTTGTTGAAGAAGGGTTGGGTTCAAAAGAGCCTTAGCCCTTGTGCCGTCCCCGTTCTCTTGGTGCCTAAGAAAGATGGCAAATGGAGGATGTGCACTGATTGTAGAGCCATCAATAACATAACAATAAAATATAGGCACCCAATCCCTAGGCTAGATGATATGTTAGATGAATTGCATGGGGCCATCATATTTTCCAAGATTGACCTTAAAAGTGGTTATCACCAAATTCGAATCAAAGAGGGTGATGAGTGGAAAACTGCTTTTAAGACCAAATTTGGTTTATATGAGTGGTTAGTGATGCCTTTTGGCCTCACTAATGCCCCTAGTACTTTTATGCACCTAATGAATCATATTCTTAGGGATTGCATAGGAAAATTTGTGGTTGTCTACTTTAATGACATCCTTGTATATAGTAAGACCTTAGATGAACATCTTGGACATCTAAGGCAAGTCCTAATAATTCTTAATGAGCTTCTATAGAAGGTTTGTAAAAGACTTCTCCACACTTGCATCCCCTCTTAATGAGCTTGTTCAGAAGGATGTACCATTCCTTTAGGGTGAAGCCCAAGAAAAAGCTTTCAAAACCCTAAAAGAGAAACTCACCAATGCACCCATTCTAGCTCTACCAAATTTTGACCAAACCTTTGAGCTAGAATGTGATGCATCCGGTCTAGGCATAGGTGCTGTGTTACTTCAAGGAGGTCACCCCATTGCTTACTTTAGTGAAAACTCCATGAGGCCACCTTGAATTATCTCACCTATGACAAGGAACTCTATGCCCTCATAAGAGCTCT